TAGGGGGAAAAATCTTATATAATAAAAGCCTAATATGCTAAGTGTCTGTTTGTTCAACCATTTGACCAGTGGCTATGATGCGCACTGACCACTAGGGGGAAGATGTTCTGAACAGTAGGTTAGCTTACTGCAGGGGTCTGGATCAGGACTGGGCAAGACAGGCCAGACACACCCTAGAGCCCTCCCGCAGCTTCTCTCCGGCTGGTCCCTATCAGCCCCAATCGGGACTGGGTGAGACAGGCTGGAAACGCCCTTGATGAATCCATACACCAGGATGGTTTTGGCCAGATGCCTGCAGGCCAGGCCTCTAGTCAATAATAGTCATATAATTTCATTTAATACTTACTCCACATGCAAATTTCCTCCGTTTCATGCCTTTTTATAGTTGGGTTGAGATCAAAACAAAGCCCACACCTTACTTTTAGTCATTTTGCCTTTTAAATCATGTATTCTATATAATGGTTCTCTTTCCCCTCTAGACCTGTGATCGGCAAACTGCGGCTCGCGAGCCACATGCGGCTCTTTAGCCCCTTGAGTGTGGCTCTTCCACAAAATACCACGGCCTGGGCAAGTCTATTTTGAAGAAGTGGCGGTAGAAGAAGTTTAAGCTTAAAAAAAAATTGGCTCTCAAAAGAAATTTCAATCTTTGTACTGTTGATATTTGGCTCTGTTGACTAATGAGTTTGCCAACCACTGCCCTAGACCCTTGAGTTTTGTAGAATTTGAAGGTGTATATGTTGTAGTGCTCTGCCCAGATTTCTGCTTCCTGACTATAGCTGCTGATGGCCTACAGACTGTGTCTGCTGACTGGATGTTTACAGGAAGGAGCAGAAGGCATGGCTGTCTTGCTTGAATTTTGGACAACTCTGAAGGACCATCTCAACTCGAGAGCTCCTTGTGACACTGGCTGAGACCTCAACTGTGCCTGTATCACAGAGCAATTTCTTCCTTTGCCTAGTCTTATTTCTATCGTTCTCTTTTAGGTATGTTCCCCAGTAAAACTCCTGGACAAAAATGTCCATGTCGGAGTCTATTTCCTAGGAAACCTGACCGAGGACAGTTGTTATGACTCCTGGCAAAGCGAGATCTAGAATTGGATTTTAGTGCTGGATGACCTTCCTCTCAGCTGGCAATACAAACACCATGGCTGGTGGTAGGTGGAGTACTGATCACATTCACATGGTATAGAGGTGCAATTTTAAAACAGCCATTTCCTACTCTGCTCTTGCATCACAAAACACCCCCTCTTCTTTCTGCCCTCTAACTTCACAAGGAATATTGGTTGGCATGGCCTCACTCTCACTTTTTGTTGAAAAAATATTTTTCTTTTAATAAACTTTTTATTTTGAGATAATTGTACTTTCATATACAATTACTATTTCATGCATTAAATCCCCAGAACTTATTCACCTTATAACTGAAAGTTTGTATCCTTTGACCAGCATCTCCTCATTTCTCCCACCTGCATCCCCTGGCAATGAACTTTCCTACTCTCTGGTTCTATGAGATTGACCTTTTTGGATTCCACACGTGAAATCATACAGTATTTGTCTATGTCTGGCTAATTTTACTTAGCAAAGTATCCTCCAGGTAGGAGGCAGCTAACTGATGTTTCTATTTCTCTTTAAAATCAATAAAGACATTTTTTTAAAAGTGGAAAAGTGAGTGCTGTGAGCTTCTTAATAAAATACAATTTGAAGTACTACCTTTAAAATATTCTTGCCAAAAAGTTGAACATAAGTCTAATCAAGGTTTCCAGTTTACAAGAAATAGAGGGAGAGATGGACAAATTAAATGATTTCTCAAGGAATAAAATAGATAAGTCCAGACTATGAAACGTTCTACAGGACAATTGATCTGGTTTCTGCAAGTCAACGTCATAGAGGGAAAACTATATAGATTTAAGAGACAAAAAACTAAATGTAATATGTGAACCTTGTTTGGGGCATGATTCAAACACAACAACTATGAAAAGATATTTTCATAACAATCGTAGAAATTGATCATAGACTGAATATTAGATGATACTAGAGAATTATTGTTAATTTAAAAAATATATGATTATGGCCTTATGTAAGGATAAGGATACATATTGAAGCATGTGGGGGTAAAATGATCTGTTGTTTTAAATTTTATTTGAAATGCTTCAGCAAAGAGAAATAAAAACAAAAGACAATGGATGATATAATTGCAAATGTTAGTAATTCTTTTTTTTAAAATATATTTTATTGATTTCTTACAGAGAGGAAAGGGAGAGGTAGAGAGCTAGAAACATCGATGAGAGAGAAACATCGACCAGCTGCCTCTTGCACACCCCCTATCGGGGATGTGCCCGCAACCAATGTACATGCCCCTGACCGGAATCGAACCTGGGACCTTTCAGTCCGCAGACCAACGCTCTACCACTGAGCCAAAACGGCTTCGGCAAATGTTAGTAATTCTTGAGTGAGAGTAATGTGTTTATGAGAGCTCATTATCTATTCTCTGTTTTTGTGTGTGTTTGAAATTTTTCATTAGAAAATAGAGAATAGAGCATATATATATATTTTTTTAGCTTTTAGCACACTTATTGTAATGTCTAAATTTACCTGGAGATACACTTCTTGGAAGATGAGATGAAGTTGTGGAAAGTGCATGACCTTCGAAGTCAGACAAATGTGGTTTGGATCCTACCTTCCTCCCAAGGTCCAGAGGAAGCAGGGACTGTGGCTGGAACAAAGAGAGAAAGAGCAGAAAGTTGGCTGATTTATAATACTGTGTGTGTGTGTGTGTGTGTGTGTGTGTGTGTGTGTGTGTGTGTATGTGTATGTGTGTTGGCAGGCTGTGTCAAATTTGGAGCAAGCACATACTTTTTCTGTCTTTTTGTCTTGTTTTCTCCAACATTTCATCAGTGTAATGACTGTCTTATCAACAAATTATCTAAAGGGAAATTGTTGGAACATTATTACTTTTGGAGATAGATCATGACCTGGAGACATGTCTGCTATCTCTCCTCTCTTCCTAGGAAGAGGGAGTATAGTGTGAATTGAGGCTGGAGAGGTGGGTTGGGGTCAGATCATGCGGGGCATGGTAGACTATCCTAAGGGGTTTTGTGCTGATCCCAAGCGTAAGGGGAGTCATCCAAGGATTTTTAAAAATATATTTTTATTGATTTCAGAGAGGAAGGGATAGGGAGAGAGAAACATCAATGATGAGAATCATTGATCGACTGCCTTTTGCATGCCCCCTACTGGGGATTGATCCCGCAATCCTAGCATGTGCCCTTGACCGGATTTGAACCAATTGTTCAGTCCACAGGCTGATGCTCTATCCACTAAGCCAAACCAGCTAGGGCTAAGGATTTAAAATGAGACATGCATGTGACAGATTGGTTTTGTGTTCTGAAGTGATGCCTCTGACTAAAGTAAGGAGAAGAGATTGGAAGGAGCCACAGTGAATGTACTTGGTTCTCTTTGGAGGCCAGTGTTGTCCATGTGAGAGATAGTGGTTTAGGGTGGTGGTGGTGGTGGTGGTGAACAAGGAGGGGAGAGACATTAAGGAGATAAAATGCACAGAACTTGACAACTGAATATTGTAGAGTAAAAAGGTGATGTCAAACATGATAGGTTTCTGACTGGTAGAACAGGAGGGATGGTAGATTAATTCATTCACAGATCCTTGGAAGAGGACCAAGTTTTGAGTAGCGAAAGAAATAATGATTTTGGTTTGGGGCACATTGAGTTTGAGTTTAAAGTGCCTTTGAGACATACAAGAAGTGATGTCAAGAATGCAGTTCAGTGCTGAAGTCTGGAGCTCCGATGAGAGAACAGTGTGAGTCTACTAGTTTGGTTGAAAAAGTTCACCTTTGGACTTTCCTATGTAATTGCATTACTACGATAGCATATGCAAACATTTCAGAGATATAACACATTAAAACATTTCAAAGCTACACACCTATGAGGAGCAAGTACACATATAAACCAACATAAAGTTTTGTTTTATTTTACAAATGAGCAAGTTCATTTCTTTTTTTTACAGGAAAAGTTACCTTTCCTCTGGTTTTTATTTTTTATTACAAATGTCGAGGAATTCTGGCAGTTGCTAAGACTTTTGTGAGCCAAGTATGCCTTAGTTTTCTCCTATTATTACAGTTTCTCTTTTTCGTGATGCATATTGCCAGTTACTAGTTAAATCAACTTTCTGTTGAAGGAGATTGCTCTGGAATTGCAATCTACCAATTGCTAAGCAGGAATACCCTCTCCACTTCATTGGAGAAAGCCACCACAGAACTGTTAAAGTGATCTAAAGAGTCAGATCTCGAGTATATTTTAGGTGTGGGACAGAAAGTAAGCTGGTGGGGAAGGAGTGATGGTGGTGGAGATACTGTCTCTAATCCTATGTTTAAGAAGGTCTATAAAATGTTGCTTTTGTAAATAAGTTGGTTTCTTAAAGGGCTATAATTCCCTCAGAGCCTTTGGGAAACTCAGATGTAGACTGTGGTCAGTTGTCCAATTTGGAGTTAGTTTTGCTTAATCTCCTGGTGAATACTTTGTAGTGATGCTGTATTTTTAACTGGGAAAGAAAGTCAAGTTAATGGTGCACTAACTGGCCCTTCGACAGTACTTGAAAGTTTATGACTCTTCCCTTGCTGCACATATTTATTCACTTCTAGGTTTTCCTAATTGCTTCTTCATTTTGCAGATCAGTCCATGATTCAGTTAATAAATAAAGAAAATTATTAAAACAATATATTTGGTTTATCTAATTACTGTCTCTTGATTGATATCCTATGATTCATTCCACTGGAATTGACATGATGTTTCTGTCAGTGAGTTAGAGAAGGGCAGGTATTATTATTCCCATTTTTAGGTAAGGTAAACAGTGGCCCAAAGAGTTAGTGAATATCAGAACCAGAGCTGGTCGCGCGGTCTCGGGCCTGTTGGCGAACCGCTAGGAGTCGGAGCTGTTGTCCTGCTCCCGGTCCCCCCGCGTCTCTCCCGTGGTCCCCCCTCGGCCCCGCGATGCCGGTGGACCTCAGCCAGTGGTCCGGGCCCTTGAGCCTGCAGGAGGTGGACGAGAGGCCGAAGCACCCGCTGCAGGTCAAATACTCCGGGGCGGAGGTCGGCGAGCTGGGCAAAGTGCTGACGCCCACCCAGGTTAAGAGCCGGCCCTCTGGTATTTCATGGGATGGACTTGATTCAAGTAAACTCTGTACCCTGGTCTTGACAGACCCAGATGCTCCAAGCAGAAAGGTCCCCAAATTTAGGGAATGGCACCATTTCCCGGTGGTCAACATGAAGGGCAGCAACATCAGCAGTGGCACCGTCCTCTCTGATTATGTGGGCTCTGGGCCTCCGAAGGGCACAGGCCTTCACCGCTCCGTCTGGCTGGTTTATGAGCAGGCCAAGCCACTGAAGTGTGACGAGCCCATTCTCAGCAACCGATCTGGAGACAACCGTGGCAAATTCAAGGTGGCATCTTTCCGCAAAAAGTACGACCTTGGGCCCCCAGTGGCTGGCAAGTGTTACCAGGCGGAATGGGATGACTACGTGCCCAAGCTCTATGAGCAGCTGGCGGGGAAGTAGGGGAAAGCCAGGAGACAGACATGGCCCCGGGAGCCCTAACCAGTGTTCTCAAGTTCAGTGATTCATGTTGATTTCTCTTCCCTGTTCTCACTCTCACAGGCGAGACCTGAGCAGATAGAGCTGTAGGGTGACTTTAATTCTGCCTGTCCTTTATCATTGTACAGGGTCACACACCCTGGATTTATGTTTTGATCAAATTTGAACTCCATTTTGGGGGCTATTTTGGTACTAGGATGTGGTCATCAGATTGTTAATACAAGAATAACAACCCAGAATTTAAAGGTGTATCCTCGGAAGAGCAGTACTGGAAAAGCAATCTGGAGAGTCCCTTTCCTGTTAAGCTGCAGGGCTGGGTGAGGGGTTATCTGAAATCTGATAGTCTGTACCTGTTAAGTTTATCACTCTTCCTTGGTGTAACAAAAGCCAGTCTGGAGTTGCTAAATGGAGTTGTGTTAATTCTGCTATTTGCTTACAGTTGAATAAAAATAAAAATTGTGTGGGGAAAAAAAAACAAAAAACAGAACCAGAGCTGGAGCAGAGGTGTTTTTATTTCTATCTTAATAAGGAAGAAGGGGGAGTGGGGAAGGAAGATAAAAGGTAAAGGGAGAGAGTAGGAAGAAAATAAAAGAAAATGAATTTGCTTATTTATTCCTTCAAAAACTTTTTTTTACATCTTTTTTTTTTAAATTGATTTCAGAGAGGAAGGAAGAGGGAGAAAGAGATGGAAACATCAATGATGAAAAAGAATCATTGATTGGCTGCCTCCTGCACACCCCCTACTGGGCATCAAGCCTGCAACCTGGGCATGTGCCCCTGACTGGAATGGAACCGGGGACCTTCAGTCCACAGGCCGATGCATTATCCACTGAGCCAAATTAGCTAGGGCTTCCCCCCCCCCCCCAGCTTTAATGTTCCTGCTCCTGAGAACACAATGATGTAATATGCATGATTACATGCCAGAAGCTAAAAGTCCAATGGATGAGAGAAACTCATAAATATTGTAGTTCAAAGAGAAAATTAAAGAAGGGCCATGGAAAATACATTGCGTAAAATAAATTATAACATAAAGTAATTTTTTGTTGCCTTGGCTGGTGTGGTTCAGTTGGTTGGGCTCCGTTTCGTGCACTGAATTCCCAGTCAGGCCACATGCCCAGGTTACAGGCTTGATCCCCTCTTGAAGGAGGCAGCCCATCGATCGATGTTCTCTCACATGGATGTTTCTCTCTCCGTCTCCTTTACTCTCTCTAAAAATCAATTAAAATATTTTAAAGTAATTTTTATCAATGATCTCAGTTTCTCAAACCCAAACATCTAATACCTTTTTATTTCTTTGTCTTGAAGTGGATACTACGCATTATCTGATGTTATTTTTCATTCAAGCACTTTTAAGTCTTCATGCTATTTCCCCCTCATTTTGGCATAAGACACCAATATGTATCCTTTCTTAGCCACAATGGCCCACAGAAATTGTTGCAAATTCCTGTTTTCAACTGTAGGCCTCAGAATTATGGGTTTGGAGAAAGGCAGGACTTACAGATGATCTTCTTACCCTGTCTTTTGGACTCTCCTTGTATAATTATGGAAAACCTTGACGAAGCACCATGACACACTCCTGAACTTCCAAATCCTGTCTATTTTACCTTTACAACCTGGTCAATCCAGGGATAAAATAATGGGCTAGATGAGAGAGAATCATTGATCGGTTGCCTCCTACACACCCACTACTGGGGAAATTTACTTTGTTTTAAAAAGATATTATTTCAGAAATCTTGTTATAGTGTTGAAAAGTAGAATTGAGTATAGAAGGTTTGAGTATAGAAAAGATATGGTGACTGATGTGACCCACTTAATAAAATACAATTATCCCTCTTCGCCTAGTACATCATGCTGTTTTGTGTGTGCTTGCATGTATGTGAATCACCACGAAGCAAACCACTACTTCTTTACATTTGGGATGTGATGGCTGACCTATTCTTGTGGTCATTTTACAAGAGGGAGGTTTGTTTATTATACATATGCATTTACTCAAAAAGCACTTATTGAATATCTACTATATTCAAAGCACTTTTAGATGCATGGATACATGGGAGATACAGATGTACCTGGCTCCCAGGAAGGGTTCAAGTGAATTAGTAAGATAATATGTTTATGTGAAAATTGCTTTATATAAACAGATATTTTCCCAAAAGAACCTCAAATCAATACATCTTTTCCTATTGCTTGTTTGGCCCAAAGGTTAAATCTTTCCAATTTTGTTACTTTTCTATACCATATATCCTGGACATAAGGAATGGCAGTAAATCAGTCTTGGACTTGGTTCATACCCTTATGTCTCAGAAGCTGTGGAGACTATGGTTGTGACAACACCATTCATCTCATCCACTGTTAATCCCTCAGAGTTACAATCTTCACTCCGATTTGAGTAGAAGAGGAAGCTGAGACTAGTTTTGCCTTTTGAATCATGCAGACATTAAATAACTTGAATTTTCATCCTCACTGATTTCTTTTGCAAAATGCCCTTGCATGTCCGATGTGAGCACAGAAACCATGGTAGGACTCCCTCCTCTTGCAAAGCAAGTGGAGTGTTACTGTCACAACAAATGCATCTTTTCTTTTCCTCTAGTTTTCATAAATGCCCAGGTGCATAAGCAAATATCCTAGGGATTACATGTGGCTTGCTCCAGGTCATAATAATTTCTATATTTTCTATGTTTGTGGTCTTTTTTTTTTCTCTCTTTCCCTAAATTCTATTATCTAGCCTACCAAGAAAAGATGCTTATTCTCAAAATATAGATTTAGAAAACTAAGGCTCCATGAAGGGAAATCAATGACAACTCAACTTGTTTGGCCTTTGTTCAAAAAATAAGAATTGTATATCTTGGTTATGGTCTGTTAGTTGCTCTGGAATCTTTGGTACAAATTAGTAATGATTTTAGTTGTATTTGGCATTGAAAGCAGCAGAAAATAAGACACGTTTTATTCTATAGAGTAGTTCCAGCTGGTGTTGACTGAAGCCACCTGACTTTTAAGTAGTGTTTATTGCAAAGGTCATCTTACATCATTGCTCTGTTGTGCAAGGTTAATTGCCAATTTGTTTTAAATATTATGCAAAAGCCTTGGCTTGGTTGTAGAAAACTTAGTCTTGAAGAATTTGACTCTTTTAGGGATGAATAATTAATGTCTTGTGATATCATATGCCTGAAAGAGAATTCTAAAGTTCTCCATGATTTTCCTTCTCCTAAGTGTAAGTGTATCCTATTTTTAAAAATCCTGGAAACCACTCTATGTAAAAATATAAATGAGAATTTTAAAGCAAACATGGTGAGAAGGTATTTACAGAAAAATACGATAGACAAAAGATTGCTAATTTTGTTACACAAAGAGTTTTACATAAATGTATAAGAAAATCAATAAGACTATTTAGGCCCAGCTGGCCTGGCTCGGTGGTTGAGTATTGACCTATGAACCTTGAGGTCACGGGTTTGATTCCCAGTCAGGGCATATGCCTGGATTGTGGGCTTGATCCCCAATATGGAGCGTGTAGGAGGCAGCTGATCAATGATTCTCTCTCATTATTTATGTTTCTATCTCTCTCTCCCTCTCCCTTCCTGACTGAAATAAATAAACTCAATAAAAATATATTTTTTTAAAGATTATTTAGGTAAGTAGAGAAAGGATATGAACAAACATTCCACAAAAGATAGGTGTAGGGAGCAACTCTAGGGTTAAGCCTCAGACTGACCTGTGGGAGGGCCAAAACAAGTCCCAGCTTGGAGGGCAGACAGAGTCCTCTTAGCTTAATTAAGCTTAACTTTATAGCCATCCCTAGTTCCTTCCTAGGTAGCTAATGGGCTGTGGGAGATACAGCAAATGCTGTGAAAGCAAGTGACACAAGAACATTATAACTATGTTGACCACTTTCTTGTTTTTCTCTGACTAAAAAATAAAGCCTCAACTTGCAGGCTGGATCTTTTTGTATCCTCATCCAGGCACTGGAGATCCTTTGAGCCCTAACTATTTTCTCTTGTCTGTTTTTTCTTAATCCTTCACTGCCCCTCCTCAGGCTCACTGAACCTGCCCTTGCTAGATGCATCACACATAGGTATATAGCAGATGTTATTTTGTTGTTGTTGTTGTTGTTATAGTTAATCAAATTAGCAGACTTGATTATAATAATTTGGGAGTATGCTGAAAAAGGTATTGTCTAACATCATTTTTGAAGTAGATAAATTAACATGATTCTTGCAAAGTAAGTTGTAAACTGTATGAAGATTCATACATTCATTTTCAGAAATTCTACTTTTAGTAATCTATTCTGATGGTATAATCCTAAATAATAAAGAGGTAACATGCAAATTGACCCTCATGCCCTGGCACAAGATGGCCACCCCCATGTGGTCAAAGATGGCTGCCGCAAGAAGGCTGGCAGGGGAGGGTAGTTGTGGGTGATCAGGCCAGCTGGGGAGGGCAGTTAGGGGTGACAAAGCCAGCAGGAAAGGGTAGTTAGGGGAGACCAGGCCTGCAGGGGAGGGCAATTAGGGTGACCAGGCCAACAGGGGAAGGCAATTGGGGGTGACTAGGTCAGAAGGGAAGGGCAGATGGGGCAACCAGGTCAGTCGGGGGCAATGGGTCTTGCAGGGGAGTAGTTAGGGAGTGTATATCTTTCAATAAAAAAGTACTAGAATGTTCACAGCAGCACTGTTCATAATAGCCCTAAACTGGAAACTACCCAAATGTCCATCAACAGTAGAACAGAGAGAAATTGCAGTGCAAGTGTTCTGCAGCAGGGACAATTAACAGACTACTGTTATATGCAACAGTAGTTGATCTCAAATACAAGGCTGAGCGAAGGAAGATAAAACAGCTCACATATTGAATGATATACAAAGGTGGCAGACTATGCTGTTAGAAGTCAGGATAGTATTTACTCTTGTGGAGGAGGTAGTGTCTGGAAGGGAGCAGGGGGAGGCTTCTGTGGGACTGGGAAAGTTCTTTTTCTT